ACACACACACACACACACACACACACACACACACACACACACACACACACACACACACTGAGAAATCCCAAAAGGGCCTCCTCTACACGCTGGGCAAGGTCTTTCATTTTGGGCGCCAGCCCTTCCAGAAGCACAGATAACAAGACTTGGCAAGCTTGTCTCAACTAGAGTTTGACGCTGTATTCCCGCTCCGCAGAAACAAGCACAGTGAACTCATTAGGGCGAGCGACTAGGTGAGGGACTGAGGGGCGGGAAGGTCGCCATTGGGGACTAAAAAGGCAAGGATCAAAGCGGCGACAAGGGTTTGCTAGCGGGGCACTCGGTGTCCCCCGGGGCGTCCTAATTGCTCGGCCTGCAGCCTCTCGCTAGCAGGCTGTCCGGCTGTGTGAGTGCCCAGCCGCGGGCGGCTGAACAGCTGCAAGGCCGGCCTGGTGTTCGCCTGCCGCCGGGCTCCTGCTGGCTTCGCTGGCCAGTGCTCGGGACTCTCACAACCCTTGGAAGAGCGCTAGAAGGGGAGGGGCAGACAGAAGAATTACCACACACCGCAAACCCTTCGCGTCCAGGCGGGAACAGCAGGGAAAGTCGGTTGCCTATTTTGCTAGTACTAACAGTCCACAAACAAGTATTTATTCTTTAAACCATCCGCATTAAAAAAAAAAAAACAAAAAACAAAAACAACAACAAAAAACAAACAAACAAAAAACCAGGCGCTACACGTAGTCTCTGCATCTCAGAAAAGGCAGGCATTCGAAAAGGAGAGTCTGTCTACTACATGTCAGCCCAAAGTCGACAGATTTTGTGGAGGGATGCTTTTCTGCGCCCAAGTCCCGCGGTTCATCATCGGTGCGTGCTATTTTAAGTAAAATCAGCTCCCTGGGATTTCATCGCTTGTTAAAAAAAGATAAACTTTATTTTTGTAATTTTCAATCACAGAAAAATCTATACTTTTGTCTAAGCATTTATTTTACTGAATCAAAAAGACATGAAAAGAAAAATCATGTTTTTTACTGACGTATATAAGTGACTCTGTTTTGGACAACATATAATAAATATGATATATCACTTATCACTCAGTCTTTCAAATGTACATTTTTTTCATATTATGTAGCATGCCACTTTTCCAAAAGAAAAAAAATCTCATGAGAAATCAGTGCAAAGTTCTCCATCACCCTCCTCTGCTCTGAGGCAGACTGGATGTCCAGGAAATCACCTTCTGCCTGGGGATGAACTTCAGGCTGTGTCCGGCAACGATTCTTTCTGCTAGAGAGTCCCTCTCCGTGCCCTTCTCTCGTCCTTTCTTAGCCCTCCCCCCTCCCTCCCTTTCGCGGGTCCCTAAAGTCATTCTGTTAAAAAAAAGAAGTCGAGGGTTTGTTTTTGTGGATGTTTTTCACTTACTGGTCGCCTTTCAGTGGGGCCAGTCACACAGTTGGGGAGCTTTGCATCCCTGCCTCTGAGGGGGCAGATGGAGAGCCGAGAGCTGGCTGGTCCTTGGGGACCCCAGCCCACCGGTGAGCTCCCCCTTTGACTCCTCAGCCTCTATTCCTGTTGGCCTGGTGCGGGGAGAGGCGGGGCAGCTGTCCGGGGCGGAATGGGAATCTGGAGGGCTTCGGCACGGTCCCTCCTTCCTCACCGGGGATGCGGGGTGCCTGGGATGGGGTTGGACAAAGGGTTGAGGGCCGGCTGTCCCCCAGGCCCCAGGCCGTGGATGAGTACGCGGGGCACCAGCGGCCGCTGCAGCTGCGGGTGGGGTGCCGGAGGAGTCCGGTACATGCTGCTGTACATGGCCGCGGCCGCCGCCGCCGCCGTGGTGCTGTCCATGCTGCCCAGCAGGCTTGGGTGGTAGAAATAAGGCGATGGGAACATCCTCTGCAGAGCGGAGTAGTTTCCAGCCTCGGCCAGCAGCTCCAGGCCCACTGCGGTCTGTCGCTTCCACTTGGTTCTGAAAGAAAGCGGGTGAGAGAGAGGGCGGGCGGCGGGGCCGCCGAGGACGGTCCCGGCCCGAGCCCGCCGCTCCCCGCCCTCTCTTGCCCTCCCTGCTCCTGGATGGCTGGGGAACTCAAGATGCACACCTTCTTCCCCAGCCTCCCCCACTCACTCTCAGGATGGCCCCAAATCAAAATCGGTTCTTCAAACCGCGACTTCCACCTGGAGACACTCGCCAGTGGAATCATACAAGCTTCCTTCCCTGGCCCTCTGCTATACTGTCCGCCCCACGGTTAAACTAGGTCTTGCAACTTTCCTGGAGGCCAAATGAGAGCCATCTTTCCACCAGCTGTCTTCCTTTGCCTCCCCCCCACACACACACACACACCATTCTCCTACGCTGCGCCCTAACCGGCGATCTAAAATGCTGGCTCTCGGCCCATCCCCCATCCCATTGCACCCGAGGAAACCAAAACCAGAAACAAAGGGCGCCTGAGACTCGGGGTTTGTACTCTCCAAGGCTGTGGAGACAACTCTTCCTTCAGCCTTACCAAGCTTCACAAGCCTAGCGCAGAAGGGTGACTAGGTTTAAAAATGGAATTTGTTTGAGAGCGAGATCTCCCAAGGGAACAGTACCCCTGGCCATTCTTAGGTGGGAGGAAAAGGATCTCAAGACCTTTCCTCCTCAAAGAGAAATTAGTACTTAAACCCTGTTATCCATTTGTTTGGGTCTCCTCCCTCCCCCAGTGCACCAAACTAGGAAGAGAGGACATCTACTCAAATGCCCTAGAAAGGAAGGAAAGCCTGGTGGGGCATCCATACCCAGCAGCTCCTGCCAAATTAATAAACATGTCGCCGGTTTTAAATTGGCTACAAATGACACTAATGTTTTCCGACAGAATTAGGGTGGCTGAAACCGTATGTAATGAGACAGAAAATTATGGTAAGATGACAACTGATTGGGCATTTCCAACCCCACTTATGAACGATTAGAACACAAACGACAGAGGGGGCAGAAAATTGAGATGAGGGAGCTGAGTGCCAGGTGTTGAAACAGGACATAGCCTGAACTCCTATTGCCCAAGTTTGTCCTTGGCCACCACGGTGAGGCCGTCACTTTCTTGGCGTCTGTTATTTATTTATTTATTTATTTATTTATTTATTTATTTATTTATTTATTTTAGAGAATCCGTGGTATGGGATAAGATCCATCTCCTTTCCCCTACCCTTACAGGACTGCAGAAGAAGGGGACTGTGCTGGGAGGGGACACTCACATCCCTCCCCTCCCCCCCCCCCACTCCAGACTGGATGCTCAACAAGCTGCCTGATTCTCCAGTCTGTGGCCTCCAGTCCAACACTAACCCAGATGGGCGTCCCTAATCTTCCATGCTATGTCAACCAAGGTTTGGACCTTGGCTTTCCCAACTGCCTCACATTTAAGCCAAGGCTGGTGGGATAGCTCTGCGGGGACTTCCATAGCTAGGTCGTGTTGCCCGCTGCAGACATTTGGAGCCAGTCTGTGGCAGGTCTAAGTGTACCCTGGGTTCACAGGCTCATCCTGTCAGCTACACAGATGTTTCAATTTGCGAAGGTGCGGCTTGGTTGATCTGAGGACAAAATGGGGGAAATTCTGGTAGCTCAAGTTTCACAAGGGAAAGAACCACTTTTTAAGACATTTAGGTCTCTCTCATTTGGAGGTGTGGCTAAGCCCTGCCTGAAAGCACCCTCTGCAGTCCCTGTGGTCTCCAGAGGGCAGGAGGGCTGACAACTGTCCTCACCTGCGGTTCTGATACCAAGTCTTGACTTGAGTATCGGTGAGGTTGAGTGCCGCTGCCAAGTCCATGCGGTCCTGGACACTGAGGTACTTCTGCCTCTCGAAGCTCCGCTCCAGCTGATTGAGTTGGTGGTCCGAGAAAGCTGTCCTGGCTTTTCGAGGTTTCTTGGCTCTCACAGGGGGACTCTCTCGGCTACTTGTAATCTCCCGGTCTCCTTCTTCCTTTGTTCCTAGGGTAGAAACAGTGAAACAAACTCTGTGAGTCAGCCTGAACCGGGTGGGAGGAGAGGACTGTCCACCTGGCACACATTCCCACACCAGGTGCCAATCTGGGGGCGATACTCAGCACACACACATTCCCACACCAGGTTACACTCAGCACACACACACACACACACACACACACCCCTCACTGGACCTTAGTGTGGAGGCCTGTGAGAGTTCTAATGGTATCTGATCCCCTGCTAACTATTTTTCTTTGATTTGAGAGGAAACAATGTGGTCTCTCTTTATTGTTTTCAAAGGGACATTCTTTATTTGGTACTCCCAAAAGTCTTTCTACTTTGTTTTTATGACATCCAAACATCCTGATACTTTTAATTTTTTTCCCCTGCTCACTGGAAGTTAGAAGCCTTTGTTTCTCCTTTTTCAGATGCATTTGAAAAAGGTTCTACTCAAGCTTCCTTCAGCTTCCTATGTACTGGATCTTTTTCAAGCTTCAGAGACAATGTGTCACCCAGACACTGAGCTGAGCTCTAAAAACAAAACAAAACAAACAAAAAACAAAAAACACTTGAGTCCATCCAGGTGACAGCGCAGAAATTTCCGGATTCTATTTGTCAACTTTGGTTTTTTGCTGAAATGCCGGGAAATCGATATGTCAATCCCTCTCTGTTTGTACCGGTTTGTGGAGCACTCCTTGATCTTCCCGGCAGGAAGAACAATAATCTCTCTAATTGACCCACTGGGGAGGTTGGTGCACGAAAAATCGCCAGACCAGACTGTACATCTGTTTGGGGGCACTCTTATGCTAATGCTATAAACAGTAAAAGGAAGAACCCATATCCTACCTTCCTGACAGCAATCTTGACCAGAGAATCAAACATTAATAATTAATAATAATAATTAATAATAATAGCAACAACTTATCAGTAAAGGGAAACAAAAACCTCCGTGGTGTGTTAAAACTCTTGCAATGCAAAGACCAGAACAGTTACTTATGAAAATGCCCAGGAAGAAAATAGTATTAAAGGATAATTTCCATGTCGTCTTAATTTTACAAGAACAAATTCAAGCCCATAAAATTTAATTTTCATAAATATTTCGTTATTGTAAAGGGCCAGCGTTGATTAGGCTGCAGACATTTTGTTGGGGGTATTGACAAAAAGGGTGTTTTTTTTTAAAATGGACTATATTTTTTCCTGTATTAATCACCAGCTGGTAAAAATTAAATTGCTACCGTAATAACGTTGGAAATTTGTCCAACATTAAATCAGACAATTCCTGTGATTATTTGGAAAATATTTGCATTCAAGAATAAATGTCGAGTTCTGATTACAGAGGGGACAACCCCAGCTAGCTATAAGCTTCTCTCCACCCCTTCCAATCCCATTCGCAAGGTCTCAGCTAAAACAAACCACACACACAAAAAAAAACAATCTCAAGTCGGTCCCCGTTTTCAAAGAAAAGCATCTTCCATCCCATCTTTCCCAGCGGCTACCCTCCTCATTTACAATTAAGTAAAACAAAGAACGGAGTTGCTGTTGGTGAAGGTTGTAGGGGAGAAATATGAGCCACTGAGTTTGGGGTGCATTTGCTGAATCGCGCGCCTAGGCCTCTCTCCATCTCCCACTCCTTTGGGTGTCGCTCAATTGCCTCGATCACCCGGGCAGCCCCGGAGCAACTCACCGTGGCATTTGATGTCGCTCTGGGAATCCTCCCTCTTGTCCAGCTTCGTTTTGCTGTCCTCCTGCTCCAGCTTTGGTCTGAAGCTCTCGTGCGCTGCGTTGCTCTCCTGCTTCGGCGTGTGATGAGGAGAGACGCTGGTGCTGTAGGGCGCACAAGCCGCCAGAGGTTTGCTGTCCCCCAAGATGTCCTTAATTAGAAAAGAAGAGGTGGAAGTCCTGGGGGCCGAGGCGGCTGAGCCCAGCTGTTGGGCTGCCGACGGTGGCTGCGGCGGCGGTTGCTGTTGGGGCGAAGGCTGCAAACTTTGCGCGGGGCCCGCGGCTGGCGGCGGTGGCGGCTGTTGGCCATGGTGGAGGTGATGGTGATGCTGGGGCCCGTCTGTCACAAGATGCGGCTCCGGGGGCTCCAAGGTGACCGAGATCGGAGAAGAGGGCGCCGTTCCCACGGTATCAATCTCCGAACAGGGTGACGGGGTGGCCTGGCTCCTGAAATCCGTGGTCCTAGCTTCACTGAGAGGGCGGAAATCTCCGTTTATCATGCCGGGGCTGCCGGAACCGGCACCGGACAAAATCGTGTCTATTCCAAAACTCGACCCGCTGGCCCCTTCCATTGCTGTCATTTCTACATGAGGTCCACGCCACTCCACGGATCAGCAACCGCCGGGACCAAGCAAGGAAAACTATCGGTCATAAAACAAAACAGACTCAAAAAAAAAAAAAAACCCGTTGACACTGCTTAAAAATAACAAAAAGTGGGGCGGGAAAGAAGGATAACGGGGACGTGGCAATTGTTGGACACTTTCTATTCAACTTCTTCCCATAAGCAAAAAGTAAAAGGAAAGAAAGATGAGAGACAGAAAACCAAAAATGCCCCAAGCAGGAAGATGCGCTCTGCTGGACCACCGCGCACGTGGGCGGCGGCGGCGAGCCGTACCCAGGCTAAAGTGCTGGCGACCGGAGCGACTCCACCGCCGCCACCGCCACCGCCGCCGCCTGGGTCTGCCCACTGCCCGATCCCGGGC